CTCAGCCCGCCTCAGCATCAGCCTGCCTCAGCCTCAGCCTCAGCCTGCTTCAGCCTCAGCCTCAGCCTGCTTCAGCCTCAGCATCAGTCTGCCTTCAGCCTCGGCCTCAGCCTCAGCCTGCTTCAGCCTCAGCCTGCATGAGCCTCAGCCTCAGCCTCAGCCCTCAGCCTCAGCCTGCCTCAGCCTCAGCCTCAGCCTGCCTCAGCCTCAGCCTCAGCCTGCTTCAGCCTCAGCCGCAGTCTGCCTTCAGCCTCGCCTCAGCCTCAGCCTGCCTCAGCCTCAGCCTGCCTCAGCCTCAGCCTCAGCCTCAGCCTGCCTCAGCCTCAGCCTGCCTCAGCCTCAGCCTCAGCCTGCCTCTGCCTCAGCCTCAGCCTGCAGCCTCAGCCTCAGCCTCAGCCTCAGCCTCAGCCTCAGCCTCAGCCTCAGCATCAGCCTCAGCCTGCAGCCTCAGCCTCAGCCTGCTTCAGCCTCAGCCTCAGTCCTTCAGCCTCGGCCTCAGCCTCAGCCTGCCTCAGCCTCAGCCTGCATCAGCCTCAGCCTCAGCCTCAGCCTCAGCATCAGCCTGCCTCAGCCTCAGCCTGCCTCAGCCTCAGCCTCAGCCTGCTTCAGCCTCAGCCTCAGTCTGCCTTCAGCCTCGGCCTCAGCCTCAGCCTGCCTCAGCCTCAGCCTCAGCCTCAGCCTCAGCCTCAGCCTGCCTCAGCATCAGCCTGCCTCAGCCTCAGCCTCAGCCTGCCTCAGCCTCAGCCTCAGCCTGCTTCAGCCTCAGCCTCAGTCTGCCTTCAGCCTCGGCCTCAGCCTCAGCCTGCCTCAGCCTCAGCCTGCATCAGCCTCAGCCTCAGCCTCAGCCTGCCTCAGCATCAGCCTGCCTCAGCCTCAGCCTCAGCCTGCCTCAGCCTCAGCCTCAGCCTGCTTCAGCCTCAGCCTCAGTCTGCCTTCAGCCTCGGCCTCAGCCTCAGCCTGCTTCAGCCTCAGCCTGCCTCAGCCTCAACCTCAGCCTGCCTCAGCATTCAAAATGTGGCCCGGGAATGGAGTTCTGGGAATTCGAAGAACACGAAGTGGCCTACAGCTGGCTCCGGGCATTCAACATCATGCCCAGGACTGGAGTTCTGGGAACTCGAAGACCACGAAGTGGCCTACAGTTGGCTCCGGGCATTCAAAATGTGGCCCGGGAATGGAGTTTTGGGAACTCGAAGAGCACGAAGAGGCCTACAATTTGGCTCCGGGCATTCAAAATGTGGCCCGGGAATGGAGTTCTGGGAATTCAAAGACCACGAAGTGGCCTACAGTTGGCTCCGGGCATTCAAAATCATGCCCAGGAATGGAGTTCTGGGACCTCGAAGACCACGAAGTGTCTAACTGTTTGCTTAAAACGACTTCCGCGGCTTCTCCCCGGCACTTGCCCAGACCCCCCTGGGGAGTCAAGATGCTCTCTTTTGACACTACTAGAAACCTATCAGTCTTCGCTGTTAGGTAAAAAAGTATCCCCGCCAGCCCATCCAGAAACGATGTCCATGCGAGTTGAGGTGATCAAGGAAGCGCGGGAGCAAAGAGGTGGACGGCCGAACCGTGCGAAGGAGGGAGGAGGAGAAGGATGCTGGATCGATGGGTGAGGGATTGGGGAAAATAAACATGATCAAGAGTATGCATACGAACGTGCATCTTAATTTGATGCTGCTGCTGCGTATGATGAGTAATGATGTTGATGCTAGTGATGATTCTGATGATACTGATGCTGATGCCGATGATAGTGCTGATGACGATGATGCGGCTGATGATGATGGTGATGATGATGATCGTGCTGCTGATGTTGCTGCTGGTGTTGGTGGTGGTGATGATGATGATGCTGATGATGATGGTGATGATGGTGATGCCGATTATGATGATGGTGATGATGATGGTGGTGACGATGATGCTGCTGATGATGATGATGATGCCGTTGATGATGATGCTGCTGATGATGCTGATGATGAGGATGAGGATGATGATGCTGTTGCTGCTGCTGGTGATGAGGATGATGGTGATGATGATGATGATGATGATGATGATGATGTTTTTGATGATGATGCTGATGATGATGACGATGATGATAATGATGATACTGATGATGATGATGATGATGACGATGATGATGATGATGCTGATGCTGGTTATGATGATGATGATGATGATGATGATGATGATGATGATGATGATGATGATGATGATGATGATGATGATGATGATGATGATGATGATGATGATGCTGATGCTGATGATGATGATGATGATGATGATGATGATGATGAGGAGGAGGAGGAGGAGGGAGGAGGAGGAGGAGGAGGAGGAGGAGGAGGAGGAGGAGGAGGAGGAGGAGGAGGAAGGCGTGCAAAAGGGCCAGATGTCTGTTGGATGCCTCTCGGAGCCTCTGTGGATATCGCTTGGGCGCTTCTGGGTGGACTCTTGGGACGTCTTGGGGGTCTTTTGGCGGTCCAGGCGGGCTCTTGGGCGTCTTGTGTGCCTCGTGGATCCTCTTGAAGCCTTTTGGGGGCCTCGTGGGGGTGTCTTTGGAGCCGCTTGTATTTCTGTTGAGGCCGTCTGGGCGCCTCTTGGGGCCCTCTGGGGGCGCTCTTGGGAGCTTCAGGTGCGCTCTTGGGGCCATCTTGGAGGAGGTCGATCAAAGAAGAGGGACGTTTTTTTAACGCTGGCCCCCCCCAAGCGGCCAACATGGGGCCAAACCCTTAGTAAAACCAGGGATTTTGGCTTCCTCGCCGAGACCGTTTTGGACGCTCCAACGCGTCGTGGCCCCCTCCGTCCAGGTCCAGGGGATGGGGTAGGAGGAGGGGTAAACCCTGGAAGGGGGTTGGAAGAGGAAGCTCCCTAGAGACCAACTACGCCCGGAGGGCTGGTTGGATTGGGGGCCATTCCGCTTTTCGCGCTGTCGTCAGACTACGCGCTCAGCGCGGCTGCAACCATTGGAACGGCAACCTTGGAGTTAATGTAACGCGCTCTGCGCAGTCCCCTGAGCCATGTCCCGGCGCTGTATGCTAGGCTGCTGATTCTACGCACCGTTGGCGGTTCCGCCAATTGCGGCTCCCGAGGGAACCATGGATAGCAGACATCCGATCTTCGTGCGTTTGTCCGCGCCTGCTCCTCCTCTTCCTCCTCGGGGCAGAGCCTGTCGTCGACTTCCGTCGTCGTCATCGAAGCCGCCGCAATTGTCGTTCAGCGAGGAGTAGGAGGAAACACGAGGAAAGGGAGATATGGAGTAATACGGTGAGAAGGAGGAGGAGAAGGAGGATGACGACGACGAGGACGTTGGCGTCTTGGCGGCTTCCTCGCGGGGAGGGGTAGAATCGTTTTTTTGGGGCGGTGTTGGGGCGCCATCGCAAGTGGAAAGGCAAGAAGACCATCCGTAGACGAGGCTCAAGCGAGTTGCCCTGATCAGGGAGGAGAGGGAGCATGCAGAGGAACAAACTTGGGAAGCCGTCGTGCCCGACGAAGGGAGAGGACGGCGGATAACTAGGCAGAGGAACAAAACGGAAATATGAATGAGCAAGATCAATATGTTGAGTGGGAGCAGACGAATGAGGTGGAGGAGGAGGAGGGGGAGGGGTAGAAGGGAAATCGGACGATTATGAATACGTAGGCGGGTGAGGAGGAGGAACATGAGAAGGGCAGCCCCCCCAGAGACGTTGCCCAGACGATTTGCCCTGATCAATGATGTAAGGGTGTATACGGAGAAAACGAAGGGCTGGATAAACATTCGTACCCCGAGAAGGGAAAGAGGAGGATTTGGATGATGAGGTGAAGGAGGATTGCGAGGAGGGAGGAGGAGACTATGGACAAGGATGAGGAGGAGGAGGAGGAGCAGGAAGAGGAGGACGAGGAGAAGGAGGAGGAGGAGGAGGTAGAGGATGACGATGATGATGATGATGCTGATGATGATGATGATGATGATGATGATGATGATGATGATGATGATGATGATGATGATGATGATGATGACTGATGATGATGATGCTGATGCTGATGATGCTGATGCTGATGCTGATGCTGCTGATGATAATGATGATGATGATGATGATGATGATGATGATGATGATGATGATGATGATGATGATGATGATGATGATGCTGCTTCTGCTTCTGCTGCTGCTGCTGCTGATGATGATGATGATGATGATGATGATGATGATGATGATGATGATGATGATGATGATGATGATGAGGAGGAGGAGGAGGAGGAGGAGCAGCAGCAGGAAGAGGAGGAGGAGGAGGAGGAGGAGGAGGAGAAAGGGGGGGAGGGGGAGCGAGGGAGGGAGGAGGAGGAAGAGTAGGCGGAAAAGGAGGAGGAACAGGAGGGGGAGGAGGAGGAGAAAGGCGAACAATAAGCCAGAAGCCTCTTGAACCGTGACGTCGCCATCGCCTGCTGCAGTGTCGACGAAATCGCAGGATCGAGGCTGTCTATTCGTCGTTCATCTGTGCGTTTTCTCCCCAGCGCGGGCCACACTTCTGGATCCGATATCCTTTCCTCCGCCTTCCCCCTCGTACTGCTGGTCCTCCTGCTCTTCCTCCTGGTGATCCTCCTCCTTCCTCATCGTCATTCTCTTCCTTCTGCCCCTCTCCTTGCTCATCCGCCACCTGCAGCTCCTCCAGTGCAAGGCCCCCATTTCTGCTTGTACAGCACATGTTCGGTCATTTTGGGGATCGAGGCCCTCTCAGACACCCCAGTCGGCGGATAATCAATATTCTTCGCAGTGAGTGGGAGGTTTAGGGTATCAGACAGAAATGGCGCGAGCGTACCTAGCTTGTCCCCCTCCTCTCTCTTTTCCTTCGCTTCACGCTAACTATGCACCTACACCGACTCAGGCCAGGCCACTCCTGGGTCCAGGATGGGCCTGACCAGGATCGGTGCAGTCGTTTCATAGTTGGCGTCCTACACTGGGTCTGGCGAGTCTCCCCATCTAATGCTTTGCTTCTTCTTCGGTGTGGGTGGGAGTGGGGCGCGTGGCTTCCCCGAGGCACAACGAAAAGTACGCGGTCGAGATCGCGCACAACATCGGCGCGAAGAAGAGGACCGCGGAACACTCGTTCTGGCAGACTGGCAACAGAGGAGGTTTAACATCTCGGAGGGGTCGGCGCGGGGCCCCCTTCCCCGACGCGCTTCGTGCGCCACGGGCGGCGCTCGTGGCGCTGCCAAAGGGCGTCCAGGGCCGACCCAAGACATCCGCGCGAACCTCCGTGCTTTCATGCTCAGTCCCCGAAGCGCTTGCATTTAGGGGTTACTACTTCTGTCCCCAAGGAATTGGACGGGTTCAGCGAGAATTTTCCACTCCTCACCCATGGCCGCCTCGTGGCCGCCCCGTGTGCGGGGTGGGTCTGGCGAGCTTTCGCCACGTTGCCGCCCGGCGCCGCCCCGTGGCCGCCTCGTGCGCTGGCTCGGTCCGGCGAGGTTTCGTCACGTTGCCGCCCGTGGCCGCCTCGCGTCCGCCTCGTGCGCTGGGCGGGGCCGGCGAGGTTTTGTTACGTTGCCGCACGTAGTCGCCTCGTGGCCGCCTTGTGCGCTGGGTGGGTCCGGCGAGGTTTCGCCGCGTTGCCGCCCGTGGTCGCCTCGTGGCCGCCTCGTGCGCTGGGTGGGTCTTGCGAGGTTTCGCCGCGTTGCCGCCCGTGGTTGCCTCGTGGCCTCGTGCGCTGGGTGGGCCCAGCGACGTTTCGTCACGTTTCTGCCCGTGGTCGCCTCGTTGTCGCCTCGAGCTTGCAACACGTCTACTGTACCACATAGCTTGCACCAGATAGCTTGCACCACATAGTTTGCACCAAATAGCTCACACATCCACAGTGCAATAATATCTTGTTAGGGGTCCACGATAGCTAGCATGTTTGTTTTGGTTCTCCGAGAGGGGGTGGTTGGAAGAGGGACCCCATCAGATACCTGGAGCTTCTGGGGATTTCGTCACGTGGGTTGTGATCATGTTCAGCAGCATTTGGGCGCTCATTGTCCGTTCGAAACTATTATGTGGCGTGTGAGGCTCCGCAATTTATCGAAGCCGTCTTGGGGTTGTCTTCCCGAGGGATTTCCAGCAAGCCCTGCAGTGTCTCAAACTGAGTGAGCAGACTGTTGGACGCTCGTGACAGATTCGCACAAGCGCACTCTCCGAGCAAATTCTGTAAACTGGCCTGACCAGTTCATACCCGTTCTGGCTCGAATCTCCGCGTTTCTCACGTCACTAAGAGCGTCTGTCGGCCTCGCATTTCATTGAGACGGTTAGATAGAGAAGCCGTACACGCCAGAGGTGCGTTGACCAAACGGTGAAACGGAGCTAATTGGGTGAAACAACGAACGTGGTCAAAAGCATGGCAAGAAGAGGCAGATGAGGAGGAGGTGGAGCAGGGGCAAGAGGAGGAGGAGGAGGAGGAGCATTTCATCGGATATCTGATTGACTTGCACAGCTTCTGGAACTGGAACGCTATTCCCTCAAGGAGTGGATGGATCCCCGCGTCTGGAAGAGACGTGAACTGAACCAGCGCGCCGATCACCTGGTCAACGTGACAATGGACATGCAATAGTCGTAGCAACACGCTGAACCATGGGATCCAGACTTGAAGCGGAGCACGCAAACGTGGAGATCCATTTCGACGGTGGACGGACAATACGTAGCACCCCGCAATTGCGGATAAGAGTGAGGGGGCGGGCGCGGGCGACGCGGGCGTCGTCGAGCCGGCGGACCTCGTGGCCCCCACCTTCCCTGTCGATGGCGCTCTCCTCCTCCTCCTCCTCCTCCTCCTCCTCCTCCTCCTCCTCCTCCCTCTTCCTCGTCCTCGTCCTCATCGTCATCGTCATCCTCCTCCTCCACCTCGTCCTCCTCCTCCTCTTCTTCCTCGTCCTCCCTCTCCCCCCCTCGTCCTTTCATCATCGTCCTCCCATTGTCGTCCTCCCCCTCATCGGCCTCCATCATCGTCCTCCCATTGTCGTCCATCATCATCATCATCTCCCCCTCCTCCCCCTCCTCGTCCTCCTCCTCCCCCTCCTCCCCCTCCTCCCCCTCCTCGTCCTCCTGCTCCTCCTCCTTTTCTTTCTCCACATTATCCTTACATCCTCTCTTCTTCCGCGTTCTCCTCGTCCCCTGTTTACTCCTCCTGCCTCCCCCTCCTTTCCCAAGATAACTGCAACGCAACCCTTTTTCCCACTTTATGCTCCCCGCCTTTTCTGATCAAGACAACTCGCCAGGGCAGAGTTGCCGGACGGGTTGGTGTGGATGCGCGGGGCTTGAAGAGGTCCTTGCGGGCTCAGACGGCATGCGAAAATCCACCGCCGCGCTTGTGCGGCATTGGTTTGTTCAGTGAACGTGGTTTAGGTCGCGGGTGGGTCGCGCGTTCACCTCCACATGGGAGGAATGCAAAAACAGCCCGCCGCAGGCGCCAAAAAACATCGTTTGTACATTGAACGTGGTTTGGGTCGCGGGTGGGCCGCGGGTTCTCCACTGGGAGCGAATGCAAAAGATGCCCGCCGCAGGCGCCGAA